TTAATTAAAGTATCCCATTTGAATCTTCTCAGAGACTCCATTTAGTCTCATTTTAAAGCTTCTCTCCTGGACGCGAGAATAACGAACATATTTAACACATCCCATCATTCAAGGGTGGTTTTCTCCAGTAGCGTGGCGTGGGGAAAAAATTAGGGGAAGCCAATAATACGTCCTTTCTTTTGGGTCGGTGTGGTGGTCAATGTAATAACGTAACCAGATGAGTGATTACAGCGCCCGGTATCATTTTACACACATTTGTATCATACAGATGCAGGACTTACACACGCCTGTTATCTGACCGACAGGTCCGCACGCACTCTCCAGCAGAAACTCTAAAAAGCATTCATTCACAAACTAAATCAGGAGACCTTTAACGTTTTACGTCCGGTTCGCTCCTTTGTTCCTCGCTGTACACAGCTCCAGTTTGGGCATTGGCCTGTCATCAGATTGTATTTGTTTTTGCTTCTGCAGCGGAAGTTTTGTACCATTATTTTTGGTTAAATACTCCAAATCTCCACCCTCCATAATTGCACTTGCTTCAGTTGCTTGCTACTTTCTAACGGCGGTGAGAGTGGTGCAGTGACGCTATCTATCTTCTATCGATTAGATTTATGATTCGAAAATTATAAAAGTAGGGTAGACATGTGGATATTATCCGACTGAACAAAACGTGCATTTACCTAACAGGTTCGTTTTCCACTGACCTTTTTTCGAGCTATTTTCCAAAATCCTATGGAGAAATCCCATTGCTATTTTGTCGAGGGAAACCGAGCGCAGCTTACTTCCGCTATTTGGGACGCGTCACTGCACCACTAAATTGATGCGATTTGATTGGATTGTGAGGCAAGGGAAGCCAGCCGCCTCTGGCTTCCCTTGGCATGGCCCTGACCAATCACTGGTTGGCAGGGGCATGACGTGAGCCTCATCTGATTGGTCAATCCCTCCATTTTTTTTCACCAAGGGAAGCAAATTTCGGCTGGCCTCCTCTCGCAACAGAGAGTGCAATCTACTGTTTCACCATAACATCTAGAGGGGCACTGTTTCACTCTTTGTAAAATACTCAATGAGAATGGGGGAGAGACAGCAACACAGGCAGCAACACATAACAAAGAATTTCCGAAACTAAACGAAGTGTTTTTATTTATTTATTAAAATTATAACTACAATCCGAAAAAACAGGGGAAGCCTGGCTTCCCTTGGCCTCCAGGAGAAAACGCCACTGCTACTGACAGTATATAAACAACAGCCACGAAGCAACTTGCCAGGCCAAGATTAGCTTGGCAAGTTCAGCAGTTAGACTAGAGTGAGCCAAGTGAAGAGACAGGTGCAGGACCTTATAGGGCAGGCAGCGAAGGGACCGACACACACTCGCATATCAGACAGGAGACGTGTGCAATAATGTTTTTCAAAAGTCATTAGCTCCTTAGGCCGTGTTTGAAATTGTGTATCGAGCGTGTCTCATTACTTATCAGATATGTGAAAATGACATTTTAAGAAACAAGATTGATAAAAACTCTTCTTTGTATACATCTCATGATGCAGCTCTGTGTTTAGCGGGTGTTTTACTACTAATTATAGCCTAGCTAAATGTGGATGTACTTTGCTATTTGCAAATATACTGCTAGCACAGTATGGTAATCTATAATATCATTATTAGATTTGATGAGATGTGCATTAGCTTGGATGGAAGAGATATAAAAAGCTAATTACATTTCTGAAATGTCACTCATAACTCCTCTGAAGATGATTAGATCGTCATCAAGCTGGAGTTATTATCTTGTCTCAAATGATGTTTCTCAATAACTCAAGTAAGAGAAAAGCCAATCAGAAATCACACAGCTGAAACCTTTACGTGTACTCCAGGGCATACTCTGGTGAAGTGGTGGGTAGTAGGAACTAATAGATTGATTTAGTAATCTCTTGATCTTCATCAAATATTATGACGGAGATCATCAGACAGATATTGACCCATATGATAGATTGTAGAAGTAAAAATGTTAATCCAATGTTGTCCTATCTCCAAATGCATGCACACACACACACACACACACACACACACACACACACACACACACACACACACACACACACACACACACACACACACACACACACACACACACACAGATACACCCCTAAGCCTTGATTTTACTTGATCTTTGTGACTTTATTTAGGCTTGGAACAAGATACCTAAATGTCATGTCATTCAAACAAGTCTTCCTATTGAAAGAAAACCTTCGGTATTGACTCTCTAAAGACTTGTCTGAACTTCACATCGATTAAACTTACTTATAGCAATATTTCTACCTCTTTAAAAGCTGTATGCCAGTACATATGCTATAGTAAGGGCTGCACATAACTGGTGTGCAGGTGCGCATGCGCACCCCCCGCCAAAAAAGGAGCACCGATCATTTGAAAAAAGACGCATTTGCGCACCAACATTGAGAGAGAGAGGGGTTTCCCACACATAGACTTTACTTGGGCGGGCCACCAAGGTATATTAACGTCCGCCAAAGTATAATTCGCGAGCCATTTAGGTTTAATTTTTTTAATCCGTCCGCGAGCACGATGGCATCTGCGATCCCTCGATCTACCCCTCGCTATCGCGTGAAGGGTCTGCTTTATGCGCTCTGCACAACCCCTGCTGCGAGGCACGGGCGAACAGTTCTATGTAGTTTTGACATAAGTTCCCCTTTTTGTTAGAAGCTATTCGATTCATTACAAATAGTGTGCAAGT